GAAGGATTGGAGGAGGAGAAAGAGAAGGAAAAGGAGGAAGAGAAGAAGGAGAGGAGGAGCAGAGTTAAGGAAGATGAGGATTGGAGAAGGAGGAAGAGAAGGAGGAAGAGAAGGAGAAGCAAGGGAGGAGGAAGAGGAGAGTTAAGGAGGAAGAGGATTGAAAGAGGAGAAAGAGAAGGAGGAAGAGAAGAAGGAGAGGAGAGAAGAGGAGGAGAGTTAAGGAAGAGGAGGATGGGAGAAGGAGAAGAAGGAAAAAAGGAGGAAGAGAAGGAGAAGGAGAGATGAGGAGGAATGAAGAAGGGGAAGGGAAGTCGAGGAAAAGGATTGGAGCAGGAGAAGGAGAAGGAAGAGAGCTGAGAAAGAGGATTGGAGAAAAAGAAAGAGAAGGAAGGAGAGGAGGAGGATTGGAGAAGAAAAAAAAGAGAAGGAAAAGAGGAAGAGGAGAAGGAGAGGAGGAGGAGGAGGAAAGTTAAGAAGGACGAGGCTTGGAAAATGAGAAAGAAAAGGAAAAGAGGAAGAGAAGGAGAAGGAGAAGGAGAAGGAGAGGTGGAGGAGAGTTAGGAGGAGAAGTATAAAGAGAAAGAGAAGGAGAGGGGGGGGAAGAGGAGGAGAAGGAGGAAGAGAAGGAGAGAAGAGGAGGAAGATTGAAGAAGGAGAAGGGAAGTCAAGGAGAAGGAGGAGTGGAGCAGGAGAAGGAAAATAGCGGAGGAAGAGGAGGATTGGAGAAGGAGAAAGAAAAGGAAGGAGAGGAAGAGGAGGATCGAAGGAGGAGGAGGAAAGGCAGAGGAGATGATGATGACGATGGAGATGTTTCATGCGGAATGAAAACTTCAGAAACGTTGCAAGGCTCGCTCTCTTGCAGATCATGAAAGCCGAAGTTACGACGGGGGAGAAATTGTTGTCGCAGTGAGTGGCTTCAGCCATGCTACAGTCACCCTCAAGATTACAGCCGGATCTGAGCTGAATTCAAACAGGCGGTGGGGGGAGGCAGTCCCCTTCCTGCAGGAGCCTAAAATTGCAGGAGCTGACATGGAAAAGGGACTTGCCGCCCCACTTGCTCCTGTGCCAATAGCATATAAGCCCCCAGCAAAAGAAACATTTCACAGGAAAGTCCATTCATTTTCTGCCAAAAAAGCAGATTGGCATCCTCCAGGGTTCTGGAACTGTGGTATAAAACTTCAGTTCTTGGCAGTGTTTTTCTTCTTCTTCTTCCTTTCTTTCTTTCAAGGCAATTTGGAAAGCCGTTGGCAGATACAAGAGCAGAAATTTTATCCACAGGTCATTTCTGGAATCAATTTTCATGCCGCTGTTTGAAAGCAAAGGAGCCTTTAAAAATTCCCCAAAGTGGCAAGCTGGTAGGCAAGTCACGATTGGCATTCGCACAAAACACGGGTTCGTTGCGGACGGCTGTGCCTCCTTCAGCCAAGTGAAGCACGAGGGCTTGGATGCTTCAACGTGGTGTGGGGATTGGGGTGTACGTATGTGTGTCTTTGTGTGCTGGCTGCTGTGGTCCGCCGGCAGCCTGCGGAGCTGGCAGTGGAGTCGGACAGCGATGAGGCTGAGGAAGAACAGGGGCCAGTCCTGGAGGCTGGGGAAGGCCCGGATGAGAGCTCTGTGTCGGAGGCAGAGATGGGGCCAGGGCCATTGGGGAGTGAGGCGTGGACTTCGGAGCCTCCAGAGGCTGAGAGGCAGAGGAATAGGAGGAGCCTGTTCCTAGTGCACGCATGAGAAGAGCTGCCAGAAGGCAGGAGCAGATAAAGCAGAGAGGACGACTTGGGAGTAAGGCCAAGAGATGATTGGCCCCTCCCAGAAGGCTTAAAAGACCAGCAACAGCTCTTGGCTTCTGCTGGAAAACAACCGTTGAGAGATTTGCTTCGTGTTTGGATGCATTTCTTTCTTGTCAGTGTCTTCTGTTCCTGAACTGTTGCCAAGAAAAGCCTTTGGCAGTTTGCCCAATTATCCCAAAGTCAGAGATAAATTGAAGAATGGTGTTTTGAGGACTTTTCTTTCATTTAATTTGGAATACACTGAGAACGAGTTAATTCTCAGCTGTTTTATTAAAATCTGTTTGTTTTTTGGAACTGTTTTGCATTTAATATTAACTACGTGGGCCTGGGTCACAACACTGGCTGACAAAAATCTGACATTTGCAGCCTGGAGCAGATAATCCCGTTTTAGCGGATTGTGCCAATCCAACCGACTGTGATTTAGTTTAAAAAATGATGGTTAGACGCACCAGGGGTTAAATGGTTAGTCTGGAATGTTTCATTCACCATAGAATAACGGAGTTGGAAGCAGTGGTGAAATCTAAATTTCTTTCCTACTGGTTCTGTGGGCGTGGCTTGGTGGGTGGGTCATGTGACTGGGTGGGCGTGGCTATGTAACCATGTGACTGGGGGTCAAAAGACAGAAACTCACTAAGAATGTCCTGTTGGAGCAGGGTTGGACTAGTTGACTTCCAGGTCCCTTCCAGCCCTGGATTATCCTTTGAAGCTGAGTCTAGTGCCAGGTTTGTAGTCCTTCCTTCTTCTCCTTTTTCCTTCCTTCCCTCCCTCCCTCCCTCTTTTCTTTCTTTCTTTCTTTCTTTCTTTCTTTCTTTCTTTCTTTCTTTCTCTCTCTCTCTCTCTCTTTCTCTCTCTCTTTTTTCTCTCTCTCTTTCTCTCTTTCTTTCTTTCTCTCTTCCTTCCTTCCTTTTTCTTTCTCTCTCATTCTCTCTCTCTCTTTTTTTCTCTCTCTCTTTCTCTCTTTCTTTCTCTCTTCCTTCCTTCCTTTTTCTTTCTCTCTCATTCTCTCTCTCTCTCTCTCTTTCAAACAAGGACCCCACTCCCCACCCCCATTTTTTGCCTAGCAAAAATGAACCCCCACCCTTGTAAAAAAAAAAGACTGTCACACGCCACAGCTGTGATCATCGGAGCCTTTTTTTACCTTTTAAAAGCATTTTTTTACTACCGGCTCAGGAGAATAGATAGTAAAAAAAATGCTTTAAAAAAGTTTTTAAAAAAGACTCCGATGATCGCTGTGAAAAATATTTTAAAAATATTTTTAAAAATTTTAAAAATATTTTTTACTACCGGTTCGGGCAAACCGGACTGAACTGAAAGCATTTCACCCCTGGTTGGAAGGGACGTTGGAGTTCTTCCAGTCCAACTTGCTGCTCAGGCAGGAAACGCTATACCATTTCAGGCAAATGGTTGTCTAATCTCATCTTAAAAAGCTTCCAGCGTTGGAGAATTCACAATTTCTGGAGGCAAGTCGTTCCACAAATCAATTGTTCTCACTGTCAGAAAATTCCTCCTTGGTTCTAGGTTGCTTCTCTCCTTGATTAGTTTCCATCCATGGCTTTTTGTTCTGCCTTCAGGTGGCTTGGAGGATAGGTTTCGATCAGAATAGAGCTGGATGGGACCTTGGAGGTCTTCTAGTCTAACCCCGTGCCCAAGCATATGCCTCTCAGTGGCTGTCCATCTCTTCTTAAAAACTTCCAGTGATGGAGCATTTAAACTTTTGGAGGCCAGATTGTTCTCACTGTCAGGAAATTCCTCCTTAGTTCCAGGTTGTTTCTCTCCTTGAGTAGTTTCCCTCCGTTGCTTCTTGTCCTGCCTTCAGGGGCTTTGGAGAATAGATTCACCCCTCTTCTCTATGGGAGCCCCTCAAGTAACTGGAAGGCAGCTATCATGTCACCCCTAATCCTGATCATGAGTCCATGATTGCCCATTCCAATGGTTGTGTTTTTAGAGAAGCTGTATCTGGCCCAGGCTCTTCTCTATTCTCTTCACCCTGAAGCACATCTCCCAAACCATTTGGCAGAGCAACCCAGGTCAAACCAAGGAAAGAGCAGCACTAGAAGCAAACTTGGTCTGGGCAGGACCCTCAGCCAGAAGGGCCTGATCCTAGACGCATATTGGCTGCGATGGCCCTCGTATTTAGAATGGAATGGAATGGAATGGAACAGAACAGAACAGAACAGAACAGAACAGAACAGAACAGAACAGAACAGAACAGAACAGAACAGAACAGAACAGAATAGAATAGAATAGAATAACAGAGTTGGAAGGGACCTTGGAGGTCTTCTAGTCCAACCCCCTGCTTAGGCAGGAAACCCTACACCACTGTCAAACTAGTTACTAAGTCTGCATTGCTATTAATCTTCTCATCGTTCCTATCACCCATCTCCTCCCACTTACGACTGTATGACTGTAACCTTGTTGCTGGTATGCTTACGATTTATATTGACTGTTTCCCTATGACTATCATTAAATGTTGTACCTTATGATTCTTGACGAATGTATCTTTTCTTTTATGTATACGGAGAGAGTATGCACCAAGAGAAATTCCTTGTGTGTCCAATCACACTTGGCCAATAAAAAAATTCTATTCTATTCTATTCTATTCTATTCTATTCTATTCTATTCTATTCTATTCTATTCTATTCTATTCTATTCTATTCTATTCTACTCTACTCTACTCTACTCTACTCTACTCTACTCTACTCTACTCTATTGTACTCTACTCTACTCTACTCAATTCAGACAAATGGTTATCCAACCTCTTCTTAAAAACTTCCAGTGTTGGAGCACTCAGAACTTCTGGAGGCAAGTTGTTCCACTAGTTAATTGTTCTCACTGTCAGGAAATTCCTCCTTAGTTCTAGGTTGCTTCTCTCCTTGATGAGTTTCCACCCATTGCTTCTCGTCCTGCCCTCAGGTGCTTTGGAGAATAGCTTGACTCCCTCTTCTTTGGGGCAGCCCCTGAGATATCGGGAAGACTGCTATCATGTCTCCCCTAGTCCTTCTTTTCATTTTCATTTCTTTTTGGGAAGGGGCGCTCCATGCTTCCCAGGCGCCCATCCTTCCAGGAGGGGGCCAGGCGGGAGAGATGCCGGCGGAGTTTCTCCCCTAGGGGTCGCCGGCAATGCCAGCCTCTGAGAGCGGGAAAGGGGGGGGGGGGAAACGGGACGCGGGGGGGGGGGAAGAAGCCCTCCCCCCCACCCCCGTTTCAGCCTCGCCCGGCAAAGCTTCGCCTTCGCTTGCGCGGCGGCGGTGGCCCGAAGGGACCGGCCGCCGGAGAGGTTCTTAAGAGAAGCCGATTGGAAGGTGAGGAGAGCCGGGAAGGAGGGCGTCGGCTGTGCCTAGGAAATCCAGGAGAGCGGCTGGGGGGAGGGGCGGTGGAGGCGGTTTTCCACCTGGTGCCCTCCTGGTGTGCTGGACTACATTGCCCATCATCCCGTGCAGGAAAGAGGGGACCGGGGGGGGCATGCACCAAGAAAAACTGCCTCTGAAGGAAGGGGCAAAGATTTAGATGGGCAGGGGAGGGGAGGAAGAGAGGATCTACCGGGCAGTTCGTGGAAGAGAGGTGTTGCATTCCCACGACACGCTTCTCTAGGGTTAACTGTGGTTTCCTCGAGTATCCTAGCTGGCGGAGTTTCAGCGCCTTATTAAACTCCGGGTCAAGGTTTGCGGGGATTCAGGAGGCTCCGGCCACTGGGGCGCGTCGACCGCAGCTCTTAGCCCGTTGTCAGTCCGGTGTTTCGCGTGCGTCGTGAGAATCCACCCCATTTCTTGCAACAAGAGGTGGAAAGGGGAATGGCGGGGGGGGGAGCGTGCAGTTGCTCCTTATCAGCTCAGGAAGGATTGACTAAGTGAGGGGGACCCGGAGAGGGGAAAGGGCTCCTTTGGGGAAACTTGGAGCGTTTTTTTTCCCTGGTGGGGAGTGGGTGGGGGGCTCAGCCCGGAAGGCGCGCACCGCTTCTGCCAGGGCAGAAAGGGTTAGGAATCGGAGAAGAAGAAAAACCACAAGGAGGAGGAGGAAGAAGAGGAGGAGGAAGAAGAGAAGAAGAAAGAGGAGGAGGGGAAGAGAAGGAAGAAGGAGAGGAGGAGGAAGGGGAAGAGAAGGAAGAAGAAGAGGAGGAGGAAAAGGAGAAAGAAGAAGAAAAGTAGGAGGAGGAGGAAGGGGAAGAGAAGGAAGAAGAAAAGTAGAAGGAGGAAGAAGAGGAGGAGGAGGAGGAAGGGGAAGAGAAGGAAGAGGAGGAGGAGGAGGAAAAGGAGGAAGAAGAAAAGTAGGAGGAGAAGGAAGAGGAAGAAGAAGAGGAGGAGGGGAGGAGGAAGGGGAAGAGAAGGAAGTAGAACAGCAGGAGGTGGAACAAGAAGAGGAGGAGGAGGAAGGGGAAGAGAAGGAAGAAGAGGAGGAGGAGGAGGAGGAAGAAGAAGAAGAGGAGGAGAAGGAAGGGGAAGAGAAGGAAGAAGAAAAGAAGGAGGAGGAAGAAGAAGAGGAGGAAGAGGAGGAAGAAGAGGAGGAGGAGGAACTGCCCCGGTGTCTCTCCCTGCCGGCTCCTCCTTTCAAGCGCCTCCCCGCCCGCGGTTCTCCGGCAGCGCCCCCCCACCTCACCCACGCCAGGCTCGGAGCTCGCGCTAGCTTCTTCGCTCTGCCTTCTCCCCATCCCGGGCCGCCCCGAAGACTCTGCTTCGGCGGCGGGCTCACCTTTGGAGGCCACCTGGCGCCTTTCTTCGCTGCCAGGTAAGCACCGGACTGGTTAGGCAAGGAAAGGCGAAGCAACAACCCGAGATCGCGGCGGTCCACGCAGATATAGGAGCTGAGGTTCCCGTTCACACGTGAAAGGGAGCGAAGTGGGCAACATTCTCTCCTCTTTGAGTCTTCCGGAGATTTGGAAGCTGCTTTGTCCTGCGTGGGCGAGGCCACCAAGGGCTCTTACTCCCCTCATCCCTCACCTCTCCAAATTCCTTTCAAGTTTCCTGTCCTGGGTGTGCTACAAGGGGGAAAATCCACTGAATAGACGCCTTCACCCCTAAGCCAACTGTAACAGTAACAGAGTTGGCAGGGACCTTGGAGGTCATCTAGTCCAACCCCCTGCTCACGCAGGAGACCTGTAATAGGGATTCGAACCGCCCGAACTGCCGAACTTTCTGATCGACAAGCTCAGTGTGTTAGCCACTGAGCCATCTTAGTCAGGATCCTGAGCCACCTAGTCAGGATTGATGCCTTGAGGTGTTCCAGAAGTCTTGATATGCGGGGGGGGGGGGGAGTCCTACGGTTCCCTATTCTGTGCATGGTGGCACAGTGGTTAGAGTGCAGGACTGCAAGCTACTTATGCTGACTGCCGGCTGCCTGCAATTTGGCAGTTCGAATCTCACCAGGCTCAAGGTTGACTCAGCCTTCCATCCTTCCGAGGTTCCGAGGTGGGTAAAATGAGGACCCAGATTGTTGGGGGCAAGAGGCTGACTCTGTAAACCGCTTAGAGAGGGGTAAGCGGTTTGTCTAAGTGCTATTGCTATTGGCCTTCCTTCCTTCCTTCCTTCCTCCCTCCCTCCCTCCCTCCCTCCCTCCCTCCCTCCCTCCCTCCGTCCTTCATTCCTTCCTTCCTTCCTTCCTTCCTTCCTTCCTTCCTTCCTTCCTTCCTTCCTTCCTTCCTTCCCAGTGATTAGAATGCAGTATTGAAGGCTAACTCTGCCGATTGCCAGCAGTTCAATACTGACCGGGTTGAATCAGCCTTCCGTCCTTCCAAGGTGGATCAAATGAGGACCCAGATTCTTGGGGGCAAGAGGCTGACTCTGTAAACTGCTTAGAGAGGGCGGGAAAGCACTGTGAAGCGGAATATAAGTCTAAGTGCTATTGCTATTCAGCATGGCTGGGATTTAGAGGGATTGCGTTGGGACTCATCTAGACAGGTGCGCACCGTTGGCTTTTGAATCAGCTGAGCCTGCTGAGCTCAAATCATCCCCTGCCTGCCGTTGTTGGCAGTATTGTCGCTCCAGTAAAAGTTACTCTGCCTTGATGGTTGCACTGAGATTTTAGCATGTGGGAATGAGTCTATTAGAGGTTTGTTTTTTTTTAAAGGAGCAGGCACCCATCTCTGTGGGATTGAAACTGATTTGGTTTGAAATGGGGCTGACCCAGGGGTGAAATCCAGCAGGTTCTGACAGGTTCTGGAGAACCGGTAGCGGAAATTTTGAGTAGTTTGGAGAACTGGCAAATGCCACCTCTGGCTGGCCCCAGAGTGGGGAGGGAATGGTGATTTTGCAATATCCTTCCCCCAGGAATGGGGAGGGAATGGAGGTTTTACAATATCCTTCCTCCAGGAGTGGGGAGGGAATGGGGATTTTGCAATATCCTTCCCTTGCCACGCCCACCAAGCCACACCCACAGAACTGGTAGTAAAAAAAATTGGATTTCACCACTGGGCTGACCCTTGTGATTTGCCAAAGGACTAGGATTTCCCCCTTTGGGTTGTGGGAAGGGGTGGTGCCTCTGAGCATGCACCGAGTGCTTCTGTTTCTCAGTCGCACGGTTTAGCCAGATTTTTCTGAACAAGCAACTGCACGAAATGCCTGGTGCTGTACTACTCGGTGAACCCAGTTTGAGTTGGGGGGGGGCGTTAGTTTGACTATTCTGACCCCTCACTGCCAGGGGAATGGATTCCGCGCAGAATAGAAGAACTGAACTGGTCCTTTGCGACTTTAAACCTTGCAGAGCACTGGAGAAGTTGAATAGATCTGCCTTTTGTCTCTCTCCTCTCCTCCTCCCCCTCTCCCCCTCTTCTCCTAGCTGATCTTGCTCTTTGAGACTTATCTGGCATTCTGCAAAGCCGCCCCCCCCCCTCACCCCACTCCCCGGGGTTACTTTTGACTCTGTGGGTTATGCTCACACATTACATAAAGCTTTCCCACCCTGTTGTGCAAAGGGAGACAATGGAAAGGATTGAGAAAATCCTGGCTCCTGTTAACTACAGGTCAGTGTTATGCAAATACAGCTGGTAACTCATAATAGGTTTAGCCTCCCGGGAGACATAAAAATGTCCTGCCAGTCATTTATCTAGAAAAGCAAGCGAGTTTTGCACATGACAAGTTTTTTTTTTTTTAACAAGTTTTTTATTTATTTATTTACAAACATATCAATGCGCGTGAACAGTGTGGCACCTGGGAGTCATACATTCTAATACAAATAAAACTAGTAGAATGAATCGTAATTATTACATTCAATCAACTTATATATTTTTAATAGTGATACACATTTATATGATGTTGCAATCTGTCATTATTCAGTTATTCCATGTTTCCTCTTATTGCTTTTATTTTATTATATAAAAGTGTTCACACTAATATTCCCCCTTCTCTTATTTCTATCTCTTATTCTAACTTTTAATCATGTCACCCTTTATTTAAAAAAAAATCTTTCTATCCTACCTAACTTCTAGTCATGTCACCTACCAAAAAAAGAAAAAGAAAGAAAGAAAGAAAGAAAAGAGAGAGAAAAGGGGAAAAGCAAATCAGGACAATAAAAAAGAGAAATCATCTATCCAACATCTCTTGTTCGCTTCAATACTTAGTTGCTATGCTTTTTTTGGCTTGCCTCCCATATTCCTCTCTTGGATCTTTATCTCTGTCTGCCTCTGCTTCTTGGCTGTTCAATCTAAATATTTCTCCCACCTCTGTCCTCTTCCACTGCCTAGGTTCAAAAATTTCTGCCCAGGTCCCTATCTCCCTTTCAGCACATGACAAATCTGATTGGGCAAAAATCGTGCTCTGGTTGTCTGTGGCTTTGATAGTTTGTAGTTTTGTGCTGGCGTAACTTCTTGTCTGAATCTAGATATTGTCATTGCCCTGGTAAAGTATATATGCCTGCTGTATTAGGGATGGGTTCCACAATCCTTCCTTAGACAGTTCAGCTCAGTGTGATGCATAGGCCAGATTGATTGATTGATTGATTTATCTTCTTATTCTTATCTTTATTCATTAAATATGAAACTCAGTCAACTGAACATTCAAAAATGCAGCACAAATACCATTGACTGGTGCTAATGGTTGATACGGGTTGCTGCCAGCATCTTAGGTATCAATCAAGTACCTTCTTAAGATGTATGATGTTCCAAGTAGCGCAGTTTTTTGCAGTTCCGCTGCTGTTATTGCAGGAAGCTGCAATTTCTTGATGTATTTTATAAAATTCTTGGACATGGTGCCAAGTGCCCCGATGACAATGGGTTTCACTGTTACATGTTTCATCCATAGCCGTGTAGTTTTGATGGCCAGGTCGCGATATTTCATGATTTTTTCCAGTTCTTTTTCTTTGACTCTGGCATCTC